TGCTGGTAAATAAAAAGAATTTCATACGCAGACAATTCTCTTGAAAAATGTACAATAAAACATTAAAGGATTCTATATTAAGGCATTCCGAAACGACTAAACATAGTTTGTGACTATGACTTTTGATCACATGCCATGGCCACAGTTTACGAGTAGAAGCTAAAGTACAAAAATAAAAGCCGAAAATGCCTTATAATGGAGACTTACAACTAAAGTATGCGCCAATAAAATGAATTATTTTAAACAGTCCTTATTCCATAGGTAAAAAGACATTCCGCTTCTATAGTGGAAAGTCAGAATCAGTAAATATGAATAAATTGTAAGTTTACCTATCATCCTCGCTTTTTTGACGCTTGCACTCATTCTCTTCTGGCAGAGCAATAAAATGCTCACCACCTATATCATCTATTTTCAGGGCGTCAGGAACCTTGTTGAAATGTAATTTGATCTTTTGGTCAGCATACATATGTTCTTTGGTGATTAGTTTATGTGGCTGAGAGTTAAACGGTGCAGGTGAATTATCAGCTCCTAGGGGGTGGTCAGCCCCAAGGGGTTCCTTTGGCACACCTGAATCAACAACGGGATTTGCAGGAAACTCAAGTCGATCTAAAATGCTAGACTCCTTTTCGCCATCGTAATGCCCCACCTTATCGATAGTGATCAATTCTGAAAGCTGAGCCGGCTGATCCGATTCAGCATCATCTCCGCTTCCTCTCTTATCAACTTTTTCGGCATCCTGAATTGTCGAGTATTTAGCAATGAGACTGAAGGGAGGAGTATCCGCATCTGGTGATTCCGTCAGCGAAAGCTTAGTCAGAGTCTGGCGTCGATTAAATTTACGAGCGATGGTAAAACTATTACCCTCAGATTGTACCTCATGAAGCCGATGTTCAGCTTCCAACTTGAAACGCTCATGACGTTCCGTGATTCGTGTTAATTCTTGCTGTAATTCATCAAGATTGCTAGCTAATTTCTTGTTCATTCCGTCCTCCTGGCTCTTTAAGCTTACTAGAGCCTGATCAAATGAATAAAGCTCTCCTTTTGGATAGTTGCTAGAGTCTATGGTTTCAGGTTGATTCGCGAAGTCATTATCAAGTTGGCCTATATGGCTCTTGGCTTCGCAGCTCTCTTCCTTCTTGCGTTCTTTATTAGGTGAGTTAAAGCGAAGTGACTGGGAAAAATTA